TTAGGTAAGTATATTTTTGGATATCCTTAAATGGCCAAAATGAACTGCGAGCTTAAAAAAATTCATGCAAGATTGGTTTGGCATAAATCTTTTATAAATGCAAAATTTCAAAGAAGATTCAAAATATGTTTTAAATATATATTTATTGATAAAAATTTAAATTAACAATCCACAAACTGTTTATCCACACAGTGAAAAAAAAAGATTTAAAAGTCCTGATCTATATGTCAGACATACTCATGTAATGATAGATGATATATCACAGATCAGCATGTCAAAATACGACATCTCCTATCAACTGAACACAGTGGTATTGCTTAATTATCATATCCTCATTAATAATCATAATTAAAAGATTTTTCATAATGTTTCTCTCATTTTCTTTGATCTAAATATATGCCTCATAAATTCATAATGCAACAATGAAGTAAATTTTTGACAGATTGATTTCGTCTGTTATCATTGAGGAATATAATCTTGTCACAATAAGTTGAAATTGTCTGAGAAATTGAATATCATCTGGTTTCCATGGTGAAGCTGTTACGTTTCCTCCCCTCCACTTGCATCAGCGAGTTCTGAAATTGTTCCAACATTTGGATTAGCACCTTTTTCTTGAAGCGACTGGCTTCACGAATGACATCACTGATAAACGCGCACTTAAGTTCCACATTTCCCTGGACTGAATTTAATTGGTGAAACAAGTTGTCGTAATCTGCAAGAGAAAAAGATCAAATGTGAAACATTAAACATAAATTTTACCTTTATGAACAAAACAAAATAAAAGTCAAACTGAATACCATGTAATTTGAAATGTTAGTGAAATGCAAATTTAGAGGTTTGTCTCGGAAAATCTTTTTAAGGAATTAAACGTATTAGCAATATTCAAATTTACCAATCTCAAAACTCCTACTAAAATTGCCAAAATTAAATCCTTGCTAAAATTTTCTGCTTATACCGTAAATCAAGGACATAAAGAAACGTAAAATAGAAGAATTCCAGCATTCATAATCTGAAAACACCATATATAATTATCATATGAACTGACATAAATCAAATAATTTGTCAAATTCATCAAAACATAAATGAAAAGGGGTCCTTTAGGGATGGGTATCGCCAAAAATTTCGTATCGCGATATATCACGATTTTTTCTCACAATATCACGATAATATCATAATATTTTGAAAAGCAGTTTTTACAATGATTTTATATGAAAAGTCATTATTTTTCTAAAAAATATGCTAGAAAAACAACATTTTACGTTCTTGAAATTATGTATATAAAATCAATTATGTTTGGACAAAACGTTCCACTTTTTACAACATTTTTTAACTTTTTGCAATTGTAATTTGAAAGATTGAACAAATAAATTAATTTCATAATATGTACCTAAATAACGGTATCAATCCGAAAAATACACAAAACAAAAAAGATATTGACGATAAAATCGCACATCCCTAGGGTCCTTGAAACAAAATAACCTAAAAATTGCAAAATATATTAAACGTTTCAACACTGGGGCCCTTGAAACAAAAATAAAATTTTTATCTGTCCTGACCTCTAGATAGGAGAGTAATGTTATTTCTGTAATATATTTTATTTCTGTAATATATTACCTGTAGGTTCTGGTTTTGGATTGAAGTCTTCCTCTATCATCTGGTCCAGTATGGGAGAGGCAGGTGGGGAAGGGGTGGGGGATCTACTGAACACGTAGTCCTTGGGGAGCGGACCTAGAGGATTCAGAACACAAAAAGCAGATGATTTTACAAGATCCAAATTTTGTTATTTCGTAATAAACAAAATCATGCAATTTTTCATTAAAAAAAAAATTATTTTCAAAATGGAGGCAGTGCTCTTAAATTACATGCAATAGCAAAAGAAAGATAACTCTTGAATAAGTTCAACAGATCAAGAAGAGGCCATGTTTTGAGAATACATGTATAAATACTGACCGACTTTGCGTTTTTTGGGACCAGGAGAGGGACTCTCTAAGCTCCGACGCTTGGACGGCTTATCTATTGTCGGGTCATCAGCCTCATCAACCATGTTCATCTGTAATGTCAAAAACAATGGACATATTGAAAATGTATCCTTCTCACTATCAAAAATATTAAAGAAAGAAATGAACATTCCATAGACAAGCAAAATAATTCTCTAAAATTATCAATTCAAAGTTTCAAAAGAATTTATCATAAAAAAAATTTTCATAGCATATTTAATCTAGAATACCGACACAGTTTCCTCCCATGTTTACGCTTCATTTATAGGAGTTTAACCTTTTCATTGCAAAAAAAATTACCATGGTCCACTTTTAATGCACCAAGTAAATGAATAAAGTGTGAGGCAGGCAAAGAAGGAGAAAGCCAAATGTAAATAGCGTCAATAATTTTTGTGACTGGTTTTTTATTAACTTATCAGAGATTAAATTTGTCTAAGTTCTTAATTGATAGTAATGAGTATAGTTAATAAGGAGTCAATTTGTCTGTCCTGTGCCTCTGCTCATAAGGACACTGTAAAACATCTACTTACCTTGACCTTAAATGGATTTAACACAAGGTATGACCGCGCTGGCAAGAACTATAAGCATTTTCAGCTCTCGGACAGCAAAATGGGGCTGGCTGTTTAAATTTAATGAAAAATATAACCTGGAAAAAGTTCCGTTAAAATCTGTTGTGCGGTAAAAATACTGTGGGCTTGCAATGTTTGGTAATTTATCAATCAATCTTTAATCAGTTTAAAACATACACTTTTATCCAGAGAATTACTGTATACAGGGTTATTTTTGCCCCGTCTTATTTTTGCCCTTTTAAACTTGCGAACAATTTTGCCCCGTTTTAAATTCGCCCATTCATAGTTCTGTTAAAGAGTTTATGCTGTGTAATTTAAATTCGCCCCGTTTTAAATTTGCCCTATCAAGAAGAGGGCGAAAGGGGCGAAAATAAAACATGGGCGAAAATTTCCCTGTATACAGTAATATTTATTTACAGGTATGCATTCAAGGACCAACCCAGGGGTGACTGAGGCGAAATAGTCGCTTTTGAGCTGCAAACTTTGCCATCATTTATTACAAAAGCGAAGTTTAAGTGGTCTTAACATTTGCAACCCCTTTATTGAAAACCATAAAAATTAAATTACTTTGAGGGAGAAGTGAAGTCTCCCTAAATTCTGGGTCTAGTTTGGTCCCTGGCATTACATCACATATCAACAGCTTATTTTTTTTTTTAACTCAGTGAGTTTGTTAACCTAAATATAAAGATGAGCTTTTTAAAAAAATAAATCAGATTATATTTAAGATTATCTAAATTATTAAAGAGTGTATTCCATGGTTTGTGATACATACCATCATCCACAAGTTTTGTTCTATGGTAGGACTTTTGTAGAAAATTTGATCTCATTCTAGCTATTTGATCTATAAGGCTTTTTCGAGGTATATCATACGGATTTCTACAAATAGAGATAAGACATGAAATCAAGCTAAAACAAAATGAGTCAATTTTTTTTTTTTAATTTCTTTCTCAGCTTCACATTCCTCTCACTTCTGTATCCATCCACTATTTTACTTCACCATGAAAGTTTATTTTGTAAATATATTGATTCACTGAATCTGCTGTACGTAAATAAATAACCCATGAAATTATATCCCTACTTACATAAAATTTTGCTTGCCCACAAACTTTGATCTCCACGCATTAAATGATTACTCAGTACATGACCTTCACTTGCTTATAGAAGAAAACCTCGACCTACCTGTAATATTGAGGATTGACAACCTTGACCTACCTATAGTATTAAGGTTTGACATTGACCTACCTGTAATATTGAGGTTTGATGTCCCTGTCGGCCACCGCGACAGTGAACGTGTTGTAATCGTTCAGTTCCTGCTTTAGGTTCTGGAGATTCCCGCCCGCGTTCTGTAACAACTGGTTAAAGTCCCGCCTCTGTAGAACAGAGGTCTTAGTTCTGAAAATCAAACATAGATCTTAGACTCATGTATGAAGTCTGAATTGTGATTTATATTTACTGTTTTTGTTTTTGCACAGACTTCTGCATGTTTATCACAAAAATTTTAAATATATATATGCATGATGCATAGAATTTTCAGCAATATACAAACATGCTTGAACACCCCCCCACACCCTGTAAATTAGGTATCAGAGTAAGGGACTATACCTAGAGTCCACTTTAATACCCTCGTGAAGAGGAACCTTCTGACCAACAGATGCTATCAACCGATCCATCTCAATCTTGGCCTGAAAACAAATGCAGAATTCATCAGTGTTAATGAATAAATTTCATAAACTCTCGTTTCATTAACAAAACTTTCATATATATCCTTTTCAATAAACATACATTTATCTTGTTCGGTAATCATTAGGGGCAAACTAAGCTCACCTGGTTTTTGAGTTTCTTTAAGTAGGTGATTACACTATAACTCAGACTGTTATCCATATTGTCAGGGACTAGATTAGGGGCACCCATTCTGGCCAAGGCTCTTTTCAAGGGCTGTCAAGGAAGAAAAACATAGGTAATCAAAGATTACACCATCACCTCAACGAATGATATATTAAGGCAAAGTCACACAATTACCCAAGAAAAAGTGTACATCCAAAAATGCAAAATTTATGCAATTTTAATCTGATACTTTGAAATAGACCTATATAAAAACTTCAAACTAGTTCTTCATCATGAAAATGTGATTAAAATCCAGCATCTTAAGCAAGTTTGAGAGTTTTCATCCCTTGATGCATCATTTGGGCAAGTTTGGTTTATATAAGCCTTATAGTTTCTTGGTAATAGACCTGCACCTATAACTTTTACCTGGTCCATTATTGAAAAAAGTATGTCAAATTCAGCATCCGGAGCAAGTCCATTAGTATGCATCCTAAGATGTATCATCCATGCGAGTTTGCACAACATTGGGCTTATAGTTACTTAGAAATGAAACCTGCATAGAAATTTAACCTCTTCACTCATCCAGAAAAAAATGTAGGTCAGATTCAGCATCTGAAGCCAGCCTGGTAGAATGCAACCTTACATGTATCATTCATGCAAGTTTGGTCATTAAAGAGCTCATAATTACTTGGAAATGAATCCTGTACCAAAAAATTTAATACTCATCCAGAAAATGTAGGTCAGATTCAGCATCTGAAGCAAGTCTGGTAAATGCATCTAAGATGTACTATCCATGCAAGTTTGGTCATTATTTGTGTGGAAATTGCACCAAAAACTTTAACCTGTTCACTCAGGCGGAAAATGATGGTCATATTCAGCATCCGAAGCAAGCCTGGTAATATGCATCCTTAGATGTATCATTCATGCAAGATTGGTCAACATAGGGCTTATAGTTAATTTGGAAATTATTTTTGCACCAAAAACATTAACCTGTTCACTCAACTGGAAAATGTAGGTCAGAGTATAGCAAGTCTGTAGTATACATCCTTAGATGTATCACCCATGCAAGTTTGGTCAACATAGGGCTTACAGTTATCGGGTACTTGGAAATGAGACCTGCACTAAAAACATTAACCTGTTCACTCAACCGGAAAATCTAGGTCAAATTCAGCATCCGAAGCAAGCCTGGTAATGTGCATCCTTAGATGTACCATCCATGCAAGTTTGGTCAACATAGGGCTCATAGTTACTTGGAAATGAGACCTACACCAAAAACTGCACCAAAAATGTTAACCTGCTCCAAAAACATTAACCTGGTCATTCCTTTGCTGCAAATTGCAGCATCTGAAACTATGACTGGTACAATGAAACACACTAGATGCATCCTCCATGCATGTCTAATCAATATAGGGCATAGAAGTTCTTAAAAAGAAAACTGCTCCAAAAAACTTCACCTAATTAACCTGGGAAACTATCAGCTCCCCCAATTTTATCTTGCATATACCATTCAATGAACATGATATATTACACATTTATCAATGTATCAAAATCTGGTCCCCCTGAAATCCCTAATACATTACAATATACTTGTCAGAATCTTGGTCACAACTTATTAGCTAGAGTTTGGATGTACATTAAAATTTATGCTTTCATATCTATCCTGGAAAGAAAATTTAACCAACCAATCTCAAAAGATATCCGGTACTTACCCCAGCATAATATGATGGCATGGTTTTGAGGTACGTGTCAAATTGACTTCGCCATTTCTGTGTTGGCTTCAGCTTGTGAACTTTGAACAGTTCATCTGAAAGACAAGTAAGGACTGGTCAATACTGGGGACAATTATCAATGTTAGAAGGAAAGTGATCTTAATCTGCTAATATCTCAGCTGCATGGTCAGAAATCTGAAAATGAAATACACATGGCAAGATCACTTACATGTACATTAACAAATTTTTTAAATCAAGTTTCAAACTTGAAACTCTTAATTCTTCAACTAATATTGGAACACTTCTAGTACTATAAAAGAATTCCATCATATTTGCTTCTATGCAAACCATTTCTTTTTCATAATGCATTACAAGATCATATATATAGATATACAACCACTGTTTTAATACTTTTTCATTACATCAACATCCAACCAAATTTAACAGTAACTCTATGTCTTTTGGAGGGAAAATGCCTCACTTGTGTGTGGATTGAGGAAAAGGCTGTTGCCATCCACTGTCCAATCAGAGGAAGGCTTTAGGGTGCCATGGCAACCAGCTGGAATCCCATTGGACAGAGGGGAAGCTGCCTAGATAGGCTGAATTGAGAAGACAAAATCTATCATTGATTGGTCTTCATATCAAGTGCAAAGGTCATTCATTTCAGTCTTTATTCAATTTTCCAGTCAAAAAAAATTCAACAGATTCCCAGAATATTAGCTGGTCTTAACATTATTATACAAAATAAAACTGAGCAAAGAATGAGATGAATGACCTATACATGTGTGGATGAGGAATCATGCTGAGTGCCTGCTTAGAGTCTACCTGAGTTTCTTTTATTGAAAAATCAATCTCCAAATTTTACTGTTCCTGCATTCAATTCATAAAACAATTACCTGTATTTAGTAATGAACTCACCTCATGATAAAATACTCACCTAATAAAGGAAGCAGCACAGGATAATTGTACGGCATTAGAAACAGATTCACACAGCTCAGGGTGCTGCTGGCCTTCAGATACCCAAAGGGGTGTCCCACGTCACTATATTTAGCACTGCCATTAATGAAGACCTGCCAGCAGGAGTTGGGCTGCCTCCTCTCCAGGATGTACTGGGTGAGGGGGGAGGGCTCCAACTCGTACTTATCAAACGGGAGGTTTCCAATCACCATGGGCTCACAGGGGGAGCAGTAAAACTTCACCGCAGGGTGGGCCGAGCGGGGAGGCTGCACAAAGATAAGAATAGAACCAAATGTTGAATACATAAAAGAACTAAATATACCAGAGACATATGAAGAGATTCTTTTTTTGATACCATGGAAAATAAATGTAAAGAAACACTTAATTCATAAATTAATTTTCTTTTAATGAAGAAGTCCGAGGGGTTCAACAGAGCGAGCACTCGCAAATATTTCTATTGGAGGTATAAGGAATTTTGATGAGCACATGCGAACGTTTGCTTTGTTGAACAGGCCTAAGATATATATAAATCAGCCTTACTAGAGTGGAATTAGTTGTGTCCGGCCAGAAAGCCTCAGGAATGGGCCAGTGCCCGACGGAGTAGCCCTTCTGAGCCGAGCGGGGGACGTAGATGAGTCGTCGACAGTTGTGCCAACTGTTATTAGGCACGGACTGACCCATCATCGGAGAGTTTGTCTTCTTCTCTTCCTCCAACTCCAACTTGATTGGTGTGTTAATGTCCTGGTTTTCTGGAATTGTGCAAAACAATAATTCATCACAATAGGTTAGAGACAAAAGTTCTCATGTTTACACATTTACTTGAATTTCATAACTGAGCAATACCTAAAATTCACAGAAATCGATTCTGGGCCTTTACAGGCATACAGTGCATATAATAATATTCAGAAGTAGAAAGACAAAATACATGTATAGATGGCATCACTCTAACTTCCATGGAATGCAGTATCTTACAACTACTGTATACAGGGTTATTTTCGCCCTTTTGTGCTTGCGAACAATTTAGCCCCCTTTTAAATTCGCCCAGTCATAGTTCTTTTAAAAAAATTATGCTGTGTAATTTGAGTTCGCCCCATTTTAAATTCGCCCAATCAATAAGGCGAAAGGGGCGAAAATAAGACGGGGCGAAAAGTACCCTGTATACAGTATACTAGACTGGCTCTGTTGTGTTATTTCCTAAGTTGGTTTACATCTCGCACAATTTCAAAAGTCTGCAAAATACTGGTATTCTTTTTTCTCCATTAAAATATTACAACTTTTATACCTTTAAATGTCTAAAACTCTTTTAAGATATTGGGTCTTTTGTACCTTTTGTGTTTCCATTACTATCAAGGCCATTCTCAGTTTTGATTTCTAAAGGAGGTGGGTCTGGCCCTATTTTCTCAAAGTTTATCACAACTCCTCCCTGTACTTTCTGAACTAAACTTTCCAGTGCTCCATTCAGCATCTTTTGGGTGTGCACAGCATATGATCTACCTAAATTCAAAAACAAAAATATATTGTAAAAAGTTTAATTAAAACTGTTCTAATGATTTGCTGCACAGTGTTTTTAACGCACTAAAAAATATATGAATTATTTTAAAAATCATTTTCCGGAATATATATTAGGACTGAATTGATTAAACCGATTTGCCTGAACAATTTTTTTATTCTAGTTTTTCATTTCAATTTTTTAATTTAGATTTTTAATTATTCCACACATTCCTCCCTTCTAGAATCCCTACCTCCTGTGACATCACACATAGCATCCAATGGATGATTCTCTGCAGAGGGAATGAATGTATTGGTTGTCATGTCAACCGGAACGTTTCCAGGCAACCTCAGCACTAGTCCGAATATCCTCTGATCCCATCTAAAGGGTTCCTTTGTCAGCTCAGATCCAGGTACAACAGAGTTCATGGGCAGGTTTATCTGTAAAACAATGGAAAGATTAATCATTCCATTTTCTAATTCAGGCAATGTATCTGAGTTTATTTAGTATTATTTTATAACTGAGCTTTGACTGGGTCTGACCTTTATGGTCAATCTTATAACTGTAACCATGGAAACTAGAGTTTTGATTGGATGCAACTTTTTGTCATACATGTAGGTGATCAAAGTGGACCTTCAGATATACGGACACCTGATATTCGGATCCGTCAGTATCCGGACGATTTTTCATAGAAAGGAATTTCTAAATGTTATACTGTCATGTTTAACTGGTAATTCAGGTATTTGGACACTTCACATATACGTACAAACTGAATGGGAACCAAAACTTTCGGATAAATGAGGCTCCTTTGTATTAAAAATTACTGAGCTTTGGTGGGGTCTGAGTTCTTACTGCTAAATTACTGAGATTTGAGATTATTGACAAGTTTTTACATGATGTGACCATGAGAAATTTATTTGAGCATGGGTTGTTTTTTTTATGCCATGTGACTATGATGAATTTATTTGAGCATGAGTTGAGTACGAGTGTTTATGTCATGTGACTATGATTTTAATTTTTTGTACCTCAGGCTGGACTCCATTCATTGTGGTCAGTTTCCCTCCATCAGTGATTACAATTATCACAGCGGGCTCCAGGTAAAATGGACACCGACCCTAAATTAAAATAATCTCAACATCACTTCTACAGTTAACATTTCAAACTTCTCACAGAGAGTGAGCTAATAATTTCAATTCAAAATTTACTTTTAACATTTTAAATAAATTCAAAATCTACTCTCTTTAAACCTTTCTATCATGGTATCATTGGTATGTATCTAGCAAAATGAGTAAAAAGAAAATCTATATTGTTACCTGTCCATAAGTGTCAATGCCTGTCTGCATTCTATTAATATTGAGAAGGTCGAATGCATGCTTCAAGGCGGGGCCCATCAGGGTTAAGCCCTGGGTCTGTAGGTTCTTCAGTTCATTCACAAATGTAGCATGACTCTCCTTCCAACCAGCCTGTAAAACAAAGCAGTGTCTGTGAGCCATCAAGGACAAGTGAAAAACAATTTTCCAAGACAACCTCTATAGTCTATACATGTCACATATATAAACTCCTCAATTTCAAATTATCAAAAAAAATTGCTCATCTATCCATGCAACAACCTGCTGGCTAAAGGTCGAGGTAGTGAATAACTTGTTAAATATAATTTTAAAATCAAACTCCCTCTTGTACATGCAATGGTAAAACAGTAAACACATGATTATGATTGTGGACTTGAAAGTTATGAATTAATTTATGATGTTCATGTTCCCTAAGTCAACTAGGTGCTGCATAACCCTGAGGGAGCGTATTTGAAATTGCTTTATTCTTAAATGAAATGACACTTTTGAAATAAATGATCATATTTGGTCTCTTTTTATCTTGGAGCTTCTTGACCCTTGCTCAGAAATTCTCTGCTAAATGCCTTTATTGAAGATTTTAAGATAGACATTCTCAATATGTTTGCTCAGCTTCGTTCTAGCATGGAAAGTAGATCCATGATTAATGAGACACAACTTTAATAGAGAGTTCAGTGTGATGAAGTCCCCAAGTATAGGTTATTCCTCAAGTTTTAAACAGCAGGGGGCATCAAAAGGTAGAAACTTATGAACCAAATACAACTGAAATTATTTCAGCAGTTTCATATAAGTAACTGTAAATTAATTAATATAACATCATGGCATACTCTATATATATAGTTCTTGAGAAAAAATTGAGAACCCCCACCCACCCCATATTCCCATGTCAATGCCATATAATGCATCCTGCAGTAGCATTTTTTCTCTCCATCAATTGGCTTTGAACCCCTGACCCTCTCCTGACCTTTGTCCTTCATTATTATAATGCTACCGATCTACACCTGCCCTCTAAAAATGTATAATTCAACTAGAGCCGAGCTCGTTGCAAAGCAACGAGTAGGTCTTCCGTTGGAGCTTTGGACAGGAAGTACAGACTTTGGGTCAAGGTCACTGCACTTTCGGTCACTGCACTTTCTTATGTCAACAACCTTTCTTCCCAGCCTCCAGTAAATTTTAATTATAAAGTTATGCTTAAACATTTATTTTTAAAACATTTTTTTCTTTGTCAGTGACCTTGATTTGCCAGAAAGACATTTGATTAGGGTCATGA